CCTGACCCTGCGCAAGAATTGCAGGAACGGCGCGGGATGCTCGGGCACGCCGTGGTCCGGCCAAGCGGTGAATTGCAATTGCTTCATCTCCCGCCTCTCGGAGTAGCCGGCTCGGGATATTTGAAAGGTTCGGATGCAATAGGTGGCGAGCTCTTGAACGTCGGTGATGGTGACCGTCATCAAACCGTAAGTCTCGGATCCTCTGCTCGGCCAGTACTGGTCGCACTTTATCCTCGTCCTCTCCTCCAGCTTCGTCATCATCACGATCGTGCTCGACCTCAGCTCCCAACACATCCTCCAGAAATCCCCGAACGTTTCCTGGAGGGGGCCTTGGGTGGCCACGTACGCGTTCTGCTTCCTATATCCGTCGCAGTAATTGGCGTTTATGTAATCCGTACCCGACATACCGTCGATAGTTTGGAGAATCACCCTCGAATGGTCGTACGCGATCACGTTCGCGTAACGATTCTTCGAGGCGTTCACCTCCATGTTCGAGTGGTCCCACGTGAATTGCTGGCCGGGCTCGATCGACTCGTACTCCTGACTGAACTTCAGATTGTCGTTCGCTTTCAGCCGCTCGATGTGATTGCCCAGCTCGGTGATCGGGATCGGTGGATGGGACACCATGCCCGGCGTTTGGAAATTTAAACGCCGCATTTCGACCGGGTCGGATGGGGCGTGATTCGAGCTGATGTCGGCAGGTATCAATGGCCGAGTGACGGCCGCCTGATCCGGTGTCTTGCAGGGTTGCCTTCGTCTAAACGTAAGAATATGGAGATATAATAAATTGGTCGCTCCGACTACGCGTCTGATTTCTCTGACTAAGCCGTACTTACTTTTTAATGACGAAAAGAAGGACGAGGAACACGCTGACCATCAAAGCGGCTATTATCGGCCCGACCACCCACACCATCCCCGGCTCCTGTCCGCTCGTTTTCACCGACACTTCCGGATTTCCATCGACCGGGGTGTTGGGATTGGGACGTCGAGGCGGCTCGCCGGGCGGTACTTCCCTCATATCGAGGGACAAGTATTCGGAGAAAGGCGACGAGGTGTACAAATGCTGCAGACAAACGAAAAGGGAAACATCGATTTGACGCGTATTCCATCGTGTCGTAGGTCAACGATACCTACCTTTCTCGGCGTATCGACCACGGCGCGAACGAAAATCCTGTACCGTTTGTTCTTCTCGAGTCTACGATTCTCGTAACCGTCGTATATATCTCCGCTACCAAGATGGAACGTGTACGGGATGTCCCTGTGCGGAAATTTGGCCGCGATGTACGGGGCGTTCTCCCTCTCCTGCTTGGCCCCCTTGCCCGCGATCATGTCCTC